AATAGGCCGTCCGAATATTTGGACCGCGGAACGGACCAGTCGGACCAGTCCCCCTCCCCCCCTCCCCGCATCCGCAAGGATGCGACCGAATCATGAATAAATTTTAACGAGATTGCACGCGCGAAAGAGAGAGCGAGGGATGCACGGCACGGCGAGTATATATGCCACTAGCTATGGCTCGCTCGGGGGAAGATAAATCAAGTCGCCTAATCAGACCGCTTCATCGGGCCCGCTTTTTGAGAAGTTATAAACGGGGTGGAATATCGAAACGATATAATACGTCTTAGCGGTGAAAAAGAAGAAGAAGGAGGAGGAGAAGAAAAGGATGACCGATCTTGAAAATTGAATGACGACGGTTAAGGGGATTTTTCTTTGCGTTTGGTTGGAAGAAGAAAGGAAACGATCCTCGATCCTCCCGGATATATTAAAGGAAGAAAGGATTCTCGATAAAATCGTGCTCGAATTCAACGAAGAGATTCGTGTGCGCGTCGATGCGCGCACCGACGAGAGGCGAGCTCTGCCTCTGTGTGGTCTAAAGCGATAGCTAATCGGTGCTTTTCGGAGGCATTGGAGCCAATTTCGGCAACCGAGTCGCGCGACCAACCCTAATGAATAGCGTTTAATTAAAGCCTATAAATCCGCACCCCGCCGTTCGAATCCTGTTCCGAGGGGGTTTCGAGGTGGAAATAAAAAGAGGAAAGAGAGAGAGAAAGAAAGGAGAGGAAGAAGGAGAGAAGAAGGAGAGGGAGAAGGTGAAGCGAGAACGAGGTGAAAAACTGTCGAACGTAGGACAAGGGCGAACAAGATGCTCTCGGAGCGCGCGATAAAATTTCTGGAATGTGTCGAGCTCGTTTAGGGACACGGAACTTTGGCCGTGTAGCTGGTAAGTTGGAACTTTGTTAATGGCCACGAAACATCATTGTCAACCGCGTGATCTTTTGGGCCAATTCGAATGAAACGAGCGAACGAAGCGTTGAAAGGGGCGAATAAAATAAACTTTGCCCGAAATTGCGACGAGAACAACGACGATGGGAGGACGATGGATGGATTACTCTCGCGGAAATGGTAAGGATTGAATCAACAATTTACAATTTATAACAAGGTGTATCGCCATTAATTACCTGTATCATCTTATCGGCAATTTATTCGATAACCTTGTACAAGCGAATGCACTTAATGAGCCGGGATGTTTAATAGTTTTTTACAGAGGGGGCAAAACCGGATGGAGCAAGTTTAGAACAGCTCGTAAAATCCTACACAAAGTGACGGGGCGCGAACGTGATGACGAAGAATATGGGATTCTTGGCGATTCTTGGGGGTAAAGAAAAAAAAAAGAAAAAGAAAGAAAGAATCGACAAAGTGCACGATAGGTGCACCGAATAAATTGTAAGGGAACGGACGTATTGGGTAACGGGTGAGTCTCGTGACTCTCAAAGTCGTATAAGATCCCGTATAACATGGACGAATATTTATGCAAATGAAAGCGTAAAACGGTCGCGATACAATTTACCTTGGTCGTTATCGTACACGGTTTACTATCGCACGGGGTGCCCCGGTAAACCAAGGGAACGGTTAAATGCGTCTTCTCTGCGGTGAGACTGCGTCTAGGAAGAGACTTTTAATTGCCACCGCTGTAAGCCAACAGATAACGCCAACGTTACTCTTTTCTTCCTCTTTTTCTTTCCTTTTTTTTTTTTTCTCTCTCCTTCACCTTTTTCGCCCCTGGAAAGGGATCAAGCATCGAGTTCTCTGACGTGTTACTCGCAATCACGCGACCGCGTTACGTTAACCGCATGCTCGAAACATGCTATCCATTGCCAAGTTTGGAGCTGTACGGGTCGTTTTGCTCCGATTAAAGTTATCGGCTTGTAATACGTGAAATGTTCATTGGTAGATAACGTTGTTCACGCGGTGGATGAAAATGCCGTTTGCACGCTAGCTACCTGCGTACCTGTTCCGTCGAGGAGGCTGAAATTTAATATAATTCATCGGTAGATAATGCTCGTTAAGATAAGCAGTCTTCTTTAATTTTCATAAATTTTCCTACCTCTTTCCTCTATACGTTTAACTCGTGTTGAAACATTTTTCGAAAGAAAACCTCTTGTATACGAGTTCAACACGATTAAAGACACGCAAATGACGAACAGTAGTAGTAAGAACTGTGTACGCGGTAATTGTAAATTCCTATATATATATATATACAATATACTGGCAACTAATTTGCCAAGTCGGCCGAGAAGTGGCTGGCCAACTGGTGTGATTTTCTTTTCTTTTCTTCTTTTTTTTTTTTTTTAAATCCTACGTCGGTGGATCCCTCGCTCACCTACGCAGGTAGCTGCACCCTGTAACTGTAGAGCGGCTCCGAACCGTGTCCGCCACTCTCGTCGAGTGACTTTTCGTTTACGAACCAGAGGTTGTCCAAGTCTTTTAACCACGTACCACTAAACGTTTCCACGAAACCAAGCAACCAACGTTTGCGAATCACGAAGACGGCCCGTTTAACGGTAACATCGTGGACGCAAATAGAGACCATTTTTCTTTTTCCGTCTGGCCGAGTTATTTTTTCCAGACGGACGATCGATGAAACGGGATGGCGAACGGGTTGGATTGCATCAACGGGTTAAAAAAAAAAAGGAAAAAAATAGAAGAAGAGACGAAACGATTCTCTGTGATACGAATAACGCTCGACGTCATTGTAATATGAGGAAAAAAAGAAGAAGAAGAAGAAGGAGAGTCAAGAGAACGATGTTGTCTTAACCCAGAAAGAGACGAGATCGTTCCCTTTGTTTGCGCATCCTTTGTTTCATCGTCGTATATAATTAGATCGGTCTCTCGTAACAGAATTGAGACACGCGGAATATTTCTCCGTGGGAATAAGAAATGATAATGCACGACAACCACGTATGTCACTCGGCGGACGGGTTGCAAACGAGTCGAGGAGAATCGATTCGATACGTTTCTCCGGGAGGGTTGAACGAACAAAGAACGAAGAAAGGAGAACCGTAAAAGGACCCCACCCTTTTTTGCGGCCTAGGGGAGAAGAAGGGGGCCTCCGCTGGTCCTTTTTCCTCTCCGAGAGCCACTGTGGATAATTGGAACCGCACCCACGAACTCGTGGCTTCGGGTCCGGTCCTCGCCTTTTTCCCTCCTCTCCTATCCTTCTCTCCTTCTCTATTCCTCGTCTCCTCCTTCCCCTCGTACCTTTAAAATACCTTTAAAACAATGCAACGCTCGCCCAAATAGAGAGATCCTTTTGTGCGCGAAGAAGCAGGGAAAAATGATTTCCGTTCATTCGTTTTTAAGCATTTGCTTGTAAATAAAACTCACGGGTGGTCCTCGAGAGTTGAAAGAAAGAAGAGTCTGCGGAATACCTGCACTTTGCCCGATACTCGATTAAATGGGTACCCTTCTCCCGGTGAAAAATAAAGGGGTTACTATCAACAGCCTCCAACTCTCTGTATCTTCGCATGAAATCGGCGAGCGTGTATGCGTCCCGCTTGTGTTGGTTCAGGAGATAAAGAAAAAGAGCCAATTCGTCCCATGTCCTGTTTAATGCACGATATATTCCAGAATCACCGATACCGGGACACTGTATATACAGTCGATAAATCTTTCCCCGATGGCTTCCTAAAAAATGTTGATTTGTCAAAATTTGTCAAAATTTGAGTTTGTAATGTAGCTGCATTGCAGATCGATATATATTGAACATTAGAAATTGTTCGATACTCGTTGGAGATGCGTGACATTCATTTATTTCTCGAGTATGAAATATTTGCAAATCGTTATGTGACGTTTGAAAATGTAGATGTAATAATTTAACCTTTTTTTTTTTATATATATATATAAAACTTTTCTTAATTTTTTTCTTTTTTTTTTTTCCTTTTCAAACGAAAAATGGCTTTTTCTCTTTATCAAAATTCTTCGATCTCGATCAACGTTTGTATAAACGACGATTTGAAATATCGTGATCTAGGCGAATCAAATGTAGATTGCAAAAATAGGTAAAAATCTTACAAATACTATTGACTCCTTACTATTGCTAATGATAATCTAATAATGCAAGAAAATTCATTATTTGACAGGGAAGATGTATGTCAAAATGATTCGTTATCGACGTGCGAGAGCAATTTCAAGGAACAAGAAAATTCAAAAATGTAACGTTCTTAATCAATAATAAAATAATAATGGAAAAATTTCTCGAAATCTAATCTGCCTAATTATACATGTATAATAAAAACAGCAACGAAGAAAAGGAACCGTTCGAGTCTATCTGTGCTCCGCTCTCCCAATGTTACAACATGGCAGAAACGGATCCTCTGGTCGAAGAGTTACTTAGACAACTTCCCAGGTAATATTTGCATCGCGTGAAGAACGACGGAACGACGATAGAGAACGAATAAGTAACGAATACAAAAATGAAAGAACGATTGTGGATCGTGGATCGACAGAATCACGGATGACTATCGCAAACATTGGGAAATGATACTGCACTGCGAAAGGGCCGCGTTTCCAAGGACGGAGTCGAATTTGCCCCTGCCCTCGAGGGAGGTACGTATATCACCGGAGGAAAGCCCGGCGAATTCAAAAGCCGAGAACTCAATTAACCCGAACGGCTAGAACTCAATTACGAATGTCGGTCGGCGGGAACGAATGCGGTGGCCGGTAATTAAAAAGTTATTATGCCCAGGCCCGTTTCTACTGGCACTTGTACTCAACCGCGGTGAAAAATTCGCGTTTGTACCAAAAACAAGTGAATCACGCTCTCCTCGTTACGTTGGCCAAGTAAGTATCTAATGATTACTTTATTGAAATGATATTATACGTACCTACGTATCATTCTTGATTCGATGAATATATATATATATATATATATATATATATCGTATGGAATAGCGATACGATATTAAATTTGTCCTTTGAATTCTTCTTTTTATGATACATTAAATTGCCATACGTGAAAATGCGAGAAATCTTTTATAGGATATATCTGATACAGAGAAATGCATTTTCATTGTCACAGACTTGTACACAGTGAGAAACAGAAGAAACATATCAGCGTTTGGGAACAATTAATACGTTTACAAACGTTCGATCGAATTCATCGAAAAAATTTGATCATTCATCTGGAACGAATTATATGGTAAATTAATATTATATTTTTAAAAAATATCTATTGAGAAATTTATTTTACATGTAGTAATATCATACATTGTAGTAAACAGACTAGATTAAGATCCATTTGTCTGGAAGGTTTATCATTAACGCCAGACGAAGGTGTACGATTACTATTGGCATTGCACAATTCCCGTAAAACGATAAAACACGTATATTGTTGGCGCGCGTTCGAAAAAATGGTAGACCTCACGGTGGATTCTGTTCATCACTTCAAATCAGGATTTCATACGAGTAAAAAAATCAAAAAAAGCGACTGGTTTCGCGCAATCGGTTGTTTGGAATTTCTCACCACTTTATCAATAAATTACGCATACATAGCGACACCCACAGGAGACTTACTCGTCTGTTTGGCCAAGTATTTAATCTCTTTTTATCGTTTTAATTTAAATTAAGATATTACTTTAATTTTGAAAATATAATAAAACTTATCCCAAAAATCTTTCGTATAAAACCTTACTACATACATGTGTATGTAATCATATATTCATTTTATCGAATATAGATCTTTCTATTAAAAAAATGTAAATATATATGAATAAATTTTGAAAATCAATCAAATTTACGATAATTGTAGAAAACTTAGAACAAATTGGCATTGGTTACAACTATTATGTTTAGAAGAAGAAATTTTACAAAGAACTGAGGATGGAGGTTATGTTGAAAAGGTTGTGATACCAGACAGAGCTTGGAAAGCAGCACATTTTTGGGCACCACTACTGAAAGTACAATATGCTATTAGTATGAATGAATTTCACAATAATTGATACGTAACACTAAATGTAATGTATGAAAAAAATAATTATTTTTTCTCTTTTCAGTAGGAATACCAGAGTACGATATTCACAAAAAATTTTTTACAAAACACACTCCAATTCATACTTTTGCACTATCGACGAGTATCGATTTGAGATTTCGACAACCATGGTATATCGATTGTACAATTAAAACACTTTGTACATGGTATGCAGATAGTTTAGGTAATTGAAAAACAAAATTATTTATTCTTTAAAAAGCCAATATTTTATTTTTTTCAATTTATTATCTTTTTTCGTTTTAATTTTTTTTTAATTCATAAATCATCATTAAAATATATGTAATAATGTTCAATACATTTTTTATCTCATATCTTAATATCTCTTACCTTTTTAGCATTATTTTTAACGTTATTAATTCTTATTTGTGGTTACACCAAAATTATAGATACAAAATATAGAAAAACAAAAATGAGAAAAAAATAAGAGGAAAAATAGGGTAAAAATATTGAAATTATCGCCATCTATTGAGTATGAAAGACATCTTTTTAAAAAGGAAGATAAGATAAGAATTAAATATCAGCGCCATCTTTTAAATATTATTAGCATTATTAAGAGATTTATTAAGAGTGACTGCTAATTCTTATTCTATTTTATCTTTTTTTGAAAAGATATTTTGAATACTCAAAAGATAACGCTAACGATCAATTCTTACTTTATCTCTATCTTTCTCCTATTTTCTATCTTTTTTACACATATTTAATTTGCGGCACTCTAGAGATGGTGCTGATTTCAATATTTTTATTCTATCTCTATTCTTCTTTTATTATTATATTCTCCTTATCTATATTTGTTCTACAAAATTTATACTTTTATATCAATTACATATATACATATTTGAATTATTTTCAAATATTTTATAATTTTTATGTTATTCGTATTTGTTATATTTTAATTTTATATATATTTCTTTTTATTATCTTATTATTTTTTTTTTTATTATTTTATATATTTACTGTATATATAGGTTATTTTTTATTTAATTATAATGCGAAATAATCAGAATTAATTCTTATATAGTATATCTATGTCTACAATTATGGCATAATCGACAGAATTTGGACACTCAATTAAGACGACTATTTCTTTATTTACCATCGCTCAGAGTTTTCGAATTTATTGGTGAAATTCGAACATTGAGAACACTTTGTGCAATGTGCTGTCAAATACGATCTTGTCGTTGCAGTAATTACTTAATAAACAACAATATATATTAAATAACAATATATATTAAGATATATCAGAGACTATTAATTTTTTCAGACGTTTATCACGTTAATATGCAACTTCAAGATGTTATACATAATGGTTTTGAAAAAGAAAAATGGATAAAAAGCATAAGATGTATGATGATTTGTTTTAAACACGATTTTGATAAAATGGGAGTTAAATTCAACATTGATTTTTATTGTTGTTGATTAATATTCGTGTATTATTAATTATCAAAGATTTCTAAAAGTCAAAATCTCAGTTTTAATAATTAATTATTATTTGTGCAAAATAGCATAAAAGTAAATGCCTATAAAATGCACGTTATATAAATACAAAATAAAAATTACTATTATAGTAATTTGTTTATAATTTTATATCGCAAATAATTTAAAGACTTCGTATATTATGCTTCTGTTGTTTCTTGTTGTTCAAATTTCGGATATTTTTCTTCGATTTCCAACCATGTAAGTTTGCCATTGGATAAATTTTTTACTACTTCGGGAATTTGGTCCAACTATAATTTGTAATAAACAATAATTTAACTCTTTTAAATTTTTTTATATTTTTATAGACTTTAAAGTATCTACTCACATTTATCCTAACTTGTCCCATACTATCTCGTTCACGAAGTGTAGCAGTATGAGGAGTTTTTAAAGTATCAAAATCTATAGTAATACCAAATGGTATTGCAATTTCATCCGTTCGAGCATATCTACGTCCAATACTGCCAGAAGAGTCGTCTACTTTATGCGAAACATCTATTTTTGTAAGATTCTGAGCTATACATAGTAAGCAATATTTAAAATATATTATAAATTTCAATTTTTAAAAAGCTCAACAAATTTAAAAAATCATTATACATACACAATTGTTTTACAAATGGTATAAATTCGTTATTACCGCTAAGCGGTAATACCGAACATTTTAAAGGAGCCACAACTGGTGGTAAACTAAAATAAGTTCGTTTTTCGTCTCCTTCTCTTGCTTTAAAGTTATGTTCAAAAATAGCATACATAATACGGCCAATACCAAAAGATGGTTCAATTACAGAAGGAATTATTTCTTCTACATGTACAGTTTTTTGATATCGTTTTATTTCGATCATATTTTTCGTAATTTTTACTGTAGAATCATTTGAAAGTCTTAATTCAGTTTCTCCATTTTCATTTATTTCAGTTTCTATAGCATTAATATTACTCTCAGTTAATGCTGCTAAAGCATCTTGTATTAATTTACTATCTTTTTTAAATATTTTTCCAATCATAACTTTATTTGATACTATTTCACATACATCAACATTTTTTGGTGCTGGCAATTTTTTTTCTGCTACTAATTTTATTCCAGTAGCTTTTGTATGTTGTGTAAGATCATAAGCAGAACGATCTGCACAGCCAACACATTCTATCCAACCATAAGAAGTTAGACATTCAGCATCCCAACAATCACATGCATAATGAGCCATTTCATTTCCCATATGTTGACGAAAACGTAATTTTTTCGGATCAATTCCAACTTTAATTAAAAATAAATAAATTCTACCCATAAAATATCCTAATGTTTCATTAGCTATAAGTTTACTTAACACAGCATCACCTAAAGTCATATACTGTGCACTCTTTCCATCCATTTGATTACAAGCAGAATGTAACAATACATTTAGATCTTTTACAGTTTCAAATTTGGGATGACTTTTATTATTAGGATCACAAAAATGTTCTATTTCTGCCATAGTAAATTCTCTTACTCTTAATAGACCAGATCTAGGAGAAATTTCATTACGGAATGCATTTCCAATTTGAGCTGCAGCAAATGGTAACTTATCTTGATTAAATGCAAGTAATCGTTTAAAATTTACAAAAATACCCTGAGCAGTTTCTGGTCTTAAAAATCCTTTCACAAGTCCAGAAGGACCAATTTGAGTTCCAAACATTAAATTAAATTCTATTGGTTCTGTTAGATCATTTCCAGTAATTGGGGATTTTATGTTGAATTTAGATAAAACTGTAGCCATTTCATCCTTAGTCATTCCATCTAATCTAATAATAATATTTTTACATTCTGTTTTTGTATTTTCATTTGTCTTTTTATCACTAATCACTTTTTCTAAATGAGATTTAATCAAATGATCTAATCTAAAACATTCCCCTGTTTTCACATCTTTTACCATTAAGTCTGCAAATCTTTCTACATGTCCAGATGCTTCCAATACAGGTTCTGGTGTTAAAATAGAACAATCTACTTCTAACATTTGTTCTTCTAATATAAAAAAACTTCTCCATGTATTTAACAAATTTGTTTTTAATGCACAACCCATAGGACCAAGATCAAATTGACCACTAATTCCTCCATAAATAGCAAAGGATTGATCATAAAAAAATCTACGTTTCAAGAGATCTTCCATTCTTGCTCTATCAAATGTTATTGTTTCTAAAAAAGACAATTCTTTCTCTTCTAATAATTTCTTTCGAAGTTTAAGTTCAACAACTGCTTTTTTAATATCCAATTCTGGAGCTCCATCAAATTTAAGTTTTCGCACATAATCACCCTAGAAATATATAAGATAATAAAATTGTATAATATTAATAGAAATAAAATTAATATTTAACAATCTATTTACATACATAACATATATAACATATTACATATATAACATAATCTATTTACATATATAAATTTTCTATATATAGAAAATTTAAAAATTCAATAATGTTATTGAAATATATGATAGAAAGATCACATATCTATGATCTTTGTGATAACAAAATATAAAATATGTTATATCTTTAAATATATTTAATAATAAATAATGATTATCCATATGGCATTTACCTGTTCCTTCACACTATCTCGAAGGGGAGACAAGATTTCTTCAATCTTTGGATCCGACATATCCTGTAAAATTTGTATTTTCACTTTACGATCCTTTTTTTTCGTACCCCACTTACTGAAGTCAGTTAACCTAGTAGTGATAATAAATTTTCGAAGTAACTGTTTATAAATCGTATTATGTTTGCATATATTATGTGTGACTTTTTTGCAAACAAGTCGCAAGTTACACGAGATAAACTGCATTTATGTTACTTTTCACTGTACTAACTTTCAAATCGACTACGATTCCACTTACTTGAAACTATCTCGGGTCTTAGTTTTGATTAATACAATACTGTCGGCGGTAAAACTGATGATATTTAAAATTATTTCATGAAACTTTAAAGTGAAAAAAATAAAATAGAAGAAATTTTTCATTATTAAATATCAATTAATTATATTTTGCATGATATAATTTTATATAAACGTAAAAATAAATAATATTAAATAATAATAATTTTTTATAAATACGATATATATATATTTTTTTATTTTTTTATTTTTATATTTTTATGATAGCACCAATATAAATAAAAACCATTTTTATCTATAACGGTATTCTTATATTTTTTTCATAAAGAATATATTTCAAAACAAATAACATTATGTAGAATGAAAAAAATAAAAAATACACAATATGACGCGCATACGCAAATATAAGTTTATTTTTTTTATTAAATTAATATAGTGTTATCAAACTAACTTATCTGTTACAAAAAAATTATTTCTCTTAATTTCGAACGATTTTATTTTCTTTGTACACTGTAGCATGGTTTATAGAAAAATTACAATCAGAGAAAAATGATTTATAAAAAAAAATATTAGATTTTCTCCTACAAAGTTATTTATTAATTATAACTTTTCAATAAACCCAGCTTGTGTATATGCTCTGTGTGTGTGTGTGTGTATGTATGTGTGTGTGTGTGCGCGCGCGCGCGCGCATGTGTGTGACACATTAAATCACATAATATGCATAGAGAAAAGTGTATAATTAAGAACGTTTTGTCCGTGCTACCACAAGTATATTGAAATTTTTATAGATAGATTCATTTCTTAATTACAACCTTAACTTTTTTGACATATAAGTATTAAGTTTTTATCCTACGCATCTACATGCATCATACATTAATTTTAAGTCAAACAATTGGTCAGACGTAAAGATAAACGTCATACAAACAATTATATATATAATATATATATATATATATATAATATGTTTCAATTTCTCTGCAACAATACTACAATCAAAAACAATTTTGATCAGTGTAAACAATTTATTTTACATAAGATCAATACTTTGACATCAAAAAAGCGATAAGAATGGATAATGTATAGTAATAAATAAAGTATGAAATGTAAATAATGGGTATTTACAAGTATGTAAATGGCAAAAAAGCTATAACAGAGACAAAATAATTGTTTTATTTTTTGTAAATATAATCTCGTATGTATTTGTAATAGATTCTGTCGCTTGTTTGCAAAAATACATCTCACGATAATATTCGTGTTATGTCAAACCTGTACACTTAAAACCTAGAAAACGTACAATCCACAACACGTACCAACATGTAAGATACCAATGTATCTTTCGCAGCAAACATGTGACAGATTCAATGAAAAACACATACTATAATAGTATTCAGCATGAATGCTTATTTTCTATAATAATTTTCCTATATATTTAAAGGGAGCACCATGATAAACATACATGCGGCTCGATATCCCATTTGGAAAATTGATTAAAAATCTCGTGCTTGCTCTCTCAATTAACTTACATTAACATAAATGCATAATTTCAATTCAATACACTGCATCCGCAATCATAATTTTCATTTCTACCAATTTTATGCACGAATCAAAGTTAAACTTCGATTCTAATTAAAAAATATACAAGCAAAAATGTTACACGAGAATATGACAAAATATCACAGTTCCGAGTTTGAAAAATCGCTTTTGAAAATCATGGTTCTCCCTATCCTTCTTTTATTCATATTTCAAGACAGTCATGAACTGTAAGACATCCTAGTTAACAACAATCCTACATTCTACTATGAGATTATCTATTTCAGAAATTGTAACGTTTAATAGTAATACATAGTCATATACAACTTGCTAAGGATGCTGTAAACTGTATACTGGCTGCTAAATGTTCCAAGTGAATACTGTATGTATAATGTATGTAAAAAGTCAGAAGTGATATATAGATTCAGAGCATATGGTGTAAATGTTGGTGAGTTTAATTTTATTGTTTAAAGATTAATTATTGAAGTTAGAAACCGAAATAACGATGCGCAGACTATAATTTATTTCCACAGAAGAGTGATGTATGAATAATATAATAATTATATAATAAAAAATATCATGTATTTATATAATAATTTAATCAAAATATATTAAAAATATTAAATTCTAAGATCATATAAATATATTACTATTTAAAAAATATTAATTATTTTTTTTAAACAATTTTTTAAATAATATCATTTTATAAATAATGTAAAAATATCCATCACTCTCCTAAGATTAACAAAACGAAAATTCAATCGATTTTAGAAAATGATGTATATTGATATTTTCAGTACATATAAAACCGAAGATGGAATGCTGATGTATAAAATTTTATGCATATTTTTATTCTTTTCTTATAATTCATATGTTTCTGAGTATTATGATTAATCAAAATGTGATTAGTTAAATATTTTCCCTTTTTTTCATTGCAAAATATAAAAATGAGATTAATATAGCATTTATGCACAAAGCTAAATGATAGTATACAGCATTCCTTTCTTCTTTATATTATTCGTTTAAAATGTACAAAATTATTTCTCATTCAATATTCCTAGTATCATTTGTGTTCATTAATCTTTGTCATTAAAAATAATAAAAATAAATAAGAAATGCTAGTCAAAAATATTTCCAAATGCTATAATTGTACTTTAAGAGTTCTTACTTAAAATTCGTAAAATCAAAATATTCATATGCTATAAAAAATATAAATACTTCCATGAAACTATGGAATATTAAATCGAGAAATTATTTATACTCGTAACCACTAACATGTTATTTACTCGAATAAACGCATCGTAAAACGGCATGACAGTCAAGGCTAAATATTCTGAACATTTCAACAAATTGCACAGTTCAAAGTTAATTGAGATTATCTAATCTCCTTCCATAGTGACATAAATGGTACTTTAAAAAAAAAAGTACCTGCGCAAATTTATTATCTTAATACAATACTTGTGACTAAATATTTACATCAATGCGTTTTACAGCTTCAGTCTATTAAGCTTCTGAATCGCGACAGCCTTTGAACTTTCGCAATATGCGACATTTTATGAAATTATTAAACTAATCATTTTTTCGTAATACCACTTAAGTTTCCTACTGAGCAGGTGGTTGTGGCTCGCTAGGCATATTAGGATTTGGATATGGTGATAAAAAGGAATAATTGGGATAAGGAGGTGGTGGATGTGGGAATGGAGGATAATAATTAGGTGGATGCGAAGAAGGGGGTGCATAACCTCTATGTATATAAGGATCTGCTGGTGGAGGAGGACCATGAAACGCTGTATACATACGAGCATATTCCGTGTTGTAACTTGGTCCACCATATGCTGGATATCCAGGAGCACCTACTTCATAAATTTAATTTCAATACATATTTATTTTATAAATAAAAAAATAAATGAAAAAAAATTTTTTTTAACTTACCACCTGGTGGATAAGTTGCTGACGAACCGGGTGTTGGAGGATAATGTTGTGAATATGGATCATACGGTCCTGGTGGATAAGGTCCAGGATAACGACTACTCGTAGGATGACTAAACGCAGTGGGTATGTGCGTTTCATCTCTACTAGGAGTAGTAGCTACTGTTGTAGTTACCATTTCTGCACCTTTCGTTTCTGTGGTATTTGCTAATGTTTTGGCAGTAGTATTAGGTACTTGTGAATATGCAGGAGGCATATTCATCATTGTCCTTTCTTCTATAGATTTTCCTAAGTCTGGCTGAGTTTTTGTGGAATCCATTGGTAATCTAGGATTTGCTGCATGAGGTGGAACACCAGGGAAATATGTACCATAAGGAGTAGATAATGATCGTGATCGAGGATCACTATAATCATAATATCGTGGATACTGAGCATAAGGGTAACCTTGTGGAACATTAGGAGGTTCACTTTGTATAGAAGTTTCACGCATACTTGGCTCTGTTGTTTTCGGAGATGTCATAGTATTTGTTCCAGTACATATAGATGTAGTAGAGGAGCCAATAGTTGAATCTGTTATATCTTTAGGAACTTCTGCACCTCGTAATGTAGATGTTGGTGGTATTTGCATAGTTGATGGTGTAGATTGTTGCGTTAACAACGGTTGTAGTGGACCAGATGGTGTTGATTGTGTTACAACTTGTGGTGATGTTTGAGGTGGTATTTGTGGTGGTCCTTGTGATGATAACTGAGAAGATATCTGTGATGATATCTGTGACGGTAACTGCGGTGGTATCTGAGATAATATTTGTGATTGTACTTGAGATGGTATCTGAGATGATATTGGCTGTGATACTTGTATTTGTGGAGATACTTGTGGCGGTATTTGTGATGGTATTTGCGATTGAATTTGAGAGGATACCGGCGATGGATCTTCAATTATAATTTCATCATTAGATGTGTCTCTTTTTTCTTGTTGATTTTGAAAATTATGCCCATAATTTGTTAATGTATCAGTTGTTTTCATGATTTCTTTTTCAATTGGAGGAGAACATTGTTTATCTATTTTTGATGTTAATTCTGTTTCTTGATCATGTTGCGTTTGAACACCTTGTGCAGTTACAGAATCCGAATATACTTGACTATTTTCCTCAGATGATTTTTGTAGAGCAGTATCAGTATCTGAATTGGTTACACGATTATGATTAGGAGGACTATAATCTGTATTTGAACTTACTTCCGCAACCACATCCTCCAATCTAACTTCTTCTACTCTTTGTTCAGTTCTAACTTGACCATCCGAAGAATTTGAATTTTCTCCGAGTGTCGAATGATCTACTGGTTCCTGTTTTACTTTTGGTAATCTTGATAGAGAAACTTGATTAGTTAAATTAACATGACTCATATAAGGTTTAGCAGTTGCTGTAGCAACAGGTTTTGGTCTTTTTGAAGTTTCTTTGTCAGCAAATGGCCTATAATTAGGTCCATTTCCTGGTTTATTAATCGAACGCCCACTTGTTTGATTACTTGAAGATGATTTTGGTATTATGGATATGGCTGAATTATTTCTCAATGGAAATCCAACTTCTGGTTTTGAATTTCTTTGCGTCATTGATGATACGCCTATAAAATATTGTAATAAAAAAAATTTTGTTTCAATTAAAAAATAATTATATGCATAAAATCAAAATTATTAAATTAATATACCTTTTTTAGGTTCTTCCTCTCGTTTTTGTTGATTCAATTTAAGAGCCGTTCGAATAGCAATAATTTTACCAGATTCTAATTGCATATAAATGCCTTTTGGACTTTTTAGCACCATTACTCGTTGACCAGCTTTCAACACAATACTACCTTTATCAGGGGAATTCGTAGGAATAACAACATCTAACGGTAACGTCATTTCTTGTGCACTCATTCCTTGTCTTTGCCATACTTCTGCTGGTATCCAACGACTTCCTGTCACACTACGCGATCCCAAACCTTCAGCACCACGTTGCTGCATTGGTCTAACCGAAGCAACTGGTTTAGAAGTAGTACTATTATCACCACCTCGAATTGCTCGAATTTGTAATCCACCTGCTATAATAATATAATATAAGAAATATATATATTTTTATTATAAATTACTATATTTTTTATTACCAAGTTAAATATGTTTTTAATAATTGAATTTTGAAAACAATCGTACCCCGTGTAGCAGTATTTCCAGGAACATAATTATAACTGGGTCTAGAACAATTGGCTGCCATTTTTTCAAGTTCATAGCCACGACGAGCTAATCGTTTTTCAGCTTGACTGAGTTTTTTATCTTTTCTATCGACCAAAAGACTTTCATGATGAAAAGGCTGTTTTGTTAATAATGAAGAATGACGTTCTAATACACGATGCATAACTTCATCAGAATAACTATCTTTTGTTTGAGAAAAATCTTGTATTTGACTATCTTCTTCCCAATCCCAAGATAATGTAGTTGCTTCTTTCAAAGAAAGATGGGCATCTGGATTGCATTGATCAACCACACGATCAGCCATTCCTTGCTTACTAATTTGTCTATCATATATTTTTCTTTCTAAACAATTGTCAGTAACTAAACGATAAACAAAACAAGGTTTCTGTTGTCCATATCTATACACTCTACAAACAGCTTGTGTATCATGACAAGGATTCCAAGAAGCATCAAATACAATGGCACGATTAGCGCCAACAAGATTAATGCCGAGTGAACCAGCACGTGTTGAAACAAGGAACAGATGAATTTTTGGATTATTATTAAATTCATTAATGAGTTTTTCTCTTTCTAAAGCGCTAGTACTACCATCCAGACGATAATAATTTACATTTTTAATCCAAGCATCTGTTTGCCCATCAGGATATTTTAAACTATTTCTAGATAAAAAATCTTCAATGAGATTCAATGTAAATAGTGATTGAGAAAATGCTAAAACACGATCACCGAGTTTAATTGCTTCTTCCAAAATACAAAAGAAAATTGTCATTTTCGCAGAAGCATCAATCAATCCTGGTACATAACCCTTCATCAATTCTGTTGCCTGCAAATTAAGAGAATTAATTAGCTAATTGTATTTTAATATCATTTATTTTTTCATTTATAATATTTACCCAATCATATGGAATTCCAGGATCTTCTTTTCCTCCTGGAGAACTTTTACTATCTTTTTCTTCATCTTTTGTAAGAACTTCATCATCAGACTTGTCTTCTTTATCTTTATCTAATAAGTCTTCTTTGTCTTTTTCCTCTTCTTTTATTAAATCATTTTGATTTAATCGAGGACTATGCAATGTATTAAGACTTTGCACAGATCTAGAAACTGAAGTTTGACAATTTGATTCAGAATTATAGCCTGAATTTGTAGATAGATTATTTTGATGAATTGGTTGACTTTGCACACCAACACTTGATGTCATTTCTTTATTATTTTTGTTCTTTTCAGAAGATCCTGAATTTTGGATATGAGTAGAAGATTGTTGACATTTTGCATCTTCTGTACGTGTATTAGTATCTGAATTATGATTATTACTATAATCGTAAGATTGATTTTGATAATTTTGTGATGGAAAATAATTATTTTGATATCGATTCACATTAGGATTTACATCCCGATAATATGGATCATTACACTGATCAGATTGAAATGATTGAGAATAATTTCTTTGCCAATAAGAGTCTTCTGAACCTTTCATTTGATTTACTTGATTTTGATGAGCACTATCTGATGAATAATTTGATAAAACAGTATTTTGAGATGATGTTTGATTTACTGAATAATTATTTGTAGGATTTGTAGATGAACCTCCACTTTGACGATCTGTTGAAAATTCATGGGATGTATTAGCTGTTGATGTATAATTTTGAGTTTGTTGTTGATTATCTGATCTGGAATATAGTTGATCATTTTGATTTAAAGAAGTTGGTGCTTGCTGATTTTGAGAATATGAAAGAGATTGATTTTGAGATTGTGAAATTTGTCCTTGTTGAGAAGTATTGTATCTATGAGTTGAAGCTGATGGTATTGATGCTGAACCTTGATGATTTGAACCATAAGCATGATTTGCATTTGATGAGCTTCCTGTTTGATTTTGTATATTAGGCGGATAAGGTTGATTTTGTGATGTAGATGGAGATACAAGATGTGAATATCCATGCATAGTATTTTGTGTATTAGCAACTGATCCTTGCTGATCTTGAGGATATCCATGTGTTTGAGTGGGAGCATTTGAAGCTGATTGGCTAGTAGGATATGAAGATGAATTTTGTGGCACATTTATTTGATTTTGAGTTGATGTAGGATATCCACGCATTTGATTTTGTGAAATTGATGCTTGATTTGATGAATTTGTCATATATGGATGAGATTGACTCTGTGGCATAGGAGTTGGAGATTGTTGATTAAAAGTAAGTGATGTTTGTGATGAAGGATTTGAATTTACTTGAGTAGGATAATTGTGGGCTTGGTTAGATAATGGTATACTTTGTGATTGTGAGCCACCATAAGTATGAGAAGAACTTTGTAAAGGAAGATTCTGATTTTGTTGATTTGGAGAAAAGCCACGATTTTGAGCAGTTGTCGTATTTTGTCCTTGTTGACTTGGAAGATATGCAACATTTGGCGTTTGAGGTGTTGAATTTTGTCCTTGTTGATTTGTATTATATCCTAATGTAGGATTTTGTAATGATTGACTTTCATTTCTTGAATATATAGTATTCGTTTGACTTGTTCCAGAATTGTAATTTTGAGTTTGATTTGATGCATATGGAGAATAATCTGGTAATGGCATATTTGCAGATTGATTTGGCATTTGTGATTGAAAAGAAGATTGATTTGGAACTTGAGAATAATTATTAGATCCTGGATTTAAATTTGATCCATAATTACGTCCATGATCTTGATAAGGATAAGATTGACGTGAATACATTCCAGATACTTCATAATTATTTCCTTGATTCTGATCTGAACGAAATTCTGAATTGGAAGGAGTAGTTGGATATCGTTGAGAATGATTATTTGTAGATTGTTCATTGTTTGGTATATAATTTTGTGATTGATTAGAGTAATTTTGTGATGTATTATATCCTGGAGTTTGTGTATATGTTTGAAATGATTGATTTCCATATCTTTGTGATCCTTGATTATTATAAAATTCATTATATTCTCCATGGCTATTGTCATTTCTATAATATGTATTTTGGTCATTTGATCTATAATTTTGATAACCATGAGGATAAGAATTTTGTGATATAGAATTTGAATATCCTGAATTATTCATTGGCATAGGAGGATAATTGGAATAATTATTCTGTTTTGGAGTAGTATGTGAATTATCATTCTCTACATTTTCAGTATTAGATGATGAAGCATTAGGTTGTACACTAGCTGCTGGTTTGTTTTTTATAGTTGTATTTGTTTTCTTTCCTTTTCTGGTTTCTCCTTTTGATTGCCGAGCTTTCGAACGTTTACCTCCAGGTGTAGATTTTTCACCAATTGTTTCTTCTAAATCTAAATCATCTTCTTCATTTGCTTGTCGTTTACGCAGAAAATGATATAAAATATCAGGATGATTCCAAATTTTACAACATACTGCAAAAGCCTTCAGCGGATTAGGTACTGCACGCGTCTTTACTACTTGATTCATAAAGGTATCATATAATTTACGCTGATGTGATGTCATTCGAACAAGAAGAATATATTCTTCTTTACGTGGTAAAGAAACTTGTAATACAGAATGAGATCTTCTTTGTACAAAACCTTCTAATAAAGCATGTAATACGTGTGCACGATATCTCATTAAACGTATATCTTGTGGTGTTGAATCAATACATTGACCATTCTGAATTGGTCTTTCAAACATATTACAAAATTCACTTTTAGTTCCCAAATAATTAGGTCTTACAAAGTCAACCATGCACCAATATTCTAAAAGATTATTTTGTAATGGATATCCAGTTAATACTATTCTACGTTTTGTGCGCATTTGTTTCAGAGCCATACTAATACTAGCATGGGAATTTTTTATTCTATGGCCTTCATCACATATAACTAAATCAGGACCTGGATTAACTAAAGCTGTATGCATTTCATCTAATAATCCTTTATTTTTTTCTTCTTCTTCAACATCAACAGTATCTTTGAAAGGTTGTCCACGTTTTCTTTTTGCTTTGTTTGGCTTTTTTAAAGATAATTGTCTATATAATTCATATCCAATTAATAAAACTCCACCCCCTATTTGCCAATCTTGAATTATTTTAGCTCTTGCCGCCATGGTTTTATGAGAATCATTTAAGATATGCAAACGAAAATGTCGTGGTCTTACTTCCATACCAATAGGAGCATCTACAATAAATGGAGTTTTAATTTTTTCAATTTCCTTTTTCTCTTCGCTTATTGTTTCCTCTTTTGTTGTACAAGTACTTTCCTCTTTTTTAACTGTTTCTTCTGGTTCTTTCTTTACATTAACTTCTGAATTTATAGAAGATAAAGTATTTTTAAAACAATCTTTTCTTGGATCTTGATCTGACTCTTGAGTTGATCGATTTGAATAATTAGAAAAAGAATTAGTAGAATTATCATAATTAGGATACATAGATACAGAATGATGACTTTCTACTCCATGATATAAAGTATTAGGATTTCGAACTTCCATACCTGGATATATGGAAGTTTGTGATCGATTTTCTAAACCAGAATATATGTTATTAGAATTTTGATTTTCCACTCCAAATTTTGTATCTGGCATGTTTGATCTTTGTTGCATGCCATGACAATTTACTTCTGATTTCATTGAATCAAATGTAGACATTGGATTAGCATTTGCATTATATATTGTATTTTGTGAAATATCATTATGATAATTTTCATTTATATGTACTTGCGAATCTGATATATTTTTATTTAACATATTATCCTGTACATAACTAGGTAACATGTTATGCGTTTCATATCCTTGATGAATATATGGATTTTCTGGCATAATATTTATAGATTGAGATGTACTTTCTTGTCCAAAACGATGAGCTGATTCTGTACTAATAGGCCTTGATATATTTGACATACTTGACATGTTTGATATATCACTCTGATTCCCACTTTCATCTTTAACTTCTTGTTTAAGCTCCATAATAGATTCTGATTTGATACATGACCCTTTGCTATGTTTTTCTGAAACATTAGGATCTTCGTATGGCAACCACATATTAAATTCTGTTAACCAATTTTGCAATGTATTAATAGGCATAATACATAAGACTGTTTTAGAAGTAGTACATCGGAAAAAAATATCGCAGAAACTAGCAACTTGAAGTGTTTTTCCCAAACCCATACTGTGAGCAAGAATACAACCAAAACCAGAGCTAGTTTTAAATCTTTCAATACTTTCAACAATATTATCATAAAGAAAACGAATACCACCAATTTGATGAGGTTTAATAATACGAGCTACCTGTGGAGCTAAAAATACATCAGGCTCTGTTTCAGGATGACCCACATTTATTAACACTCTACCATGTTCATCTGGAATGTTATATCTATCATTAGTATGCATACCAGAATTGGATGGATCATCTTCGTTGTCTGTATCTTCTCCACCACTTGGATCACTTAAAACTATGCAATCATCATCTGAACTTTCGCTAGAACTAGATATTGTAACCACATCTTTGCCTTTAGCTGTTTTTTGAGACTTTGGTCCAGCTGATACTTTTTTAACAGTATGTATTTGTTTTTCACGTAAAGCTTCTTCAGCTTCTATATCCGAGATTTCAGAATCTGAATAATATTCAGATCTATCCATAGGTTCCTTTTTAGGAACTACAGGAGATATGCTTACTGAAGGAGTCATCATTCGAATTCTTTGTTGTAACATATTAGGGCCACTAGGACGATTTGCAACTCGTGAAATTGATGTTTGTGCTCCTTGATAAACACCTCTACCTTTTTGCCATCGAGATCCTTCTACTGATCTTCTTTGTATTTGATTTGTTTGCATACTAGAAGTAGTTTGAGATCCAGTTCCAGATCCAGAATTTACTTTAAGAAGCACTGTATTTGGTAAACGAACTGGAGCAGATGGAGATGATTGCGAAATAGTAGTGCCTGCTTGATTCTGTTTACCTTGTAATAGACTGATTACTCTTGTTTGTGTTTTATTATTTTGTCTATTTATTGCTATTTGCCGTTGAACTTCACGAATTATTCTTTGCTGTTCTTGTACTCTGCGAAGACGCTCCATTTCTTGTCTTTGAGCTGATAAAGTAGCTTCATCAAGTTGAGTTTCATCCATAACTTCTCGAATATTTCTTCTCATATTTGCTAATTTCTTTTCTGTTTTTGTTTCACATTCTGATGTAGATCCTTCAGTTCCATCATCTTTTTTCTGCTTCTTTTTAACTGTATCAGAATGTTCTGAATCAGCATGCCTCTTGTTACTTTCTGTACTTTCTTCTTCCATAGAATGACCTTCATGTTTGTCATTTTCATGTCCTATGCTTCCTTCATCATCTGTATCCTTTGAAATTGATTTTCCAAGTAAATCTGCTTCAGATACTTCTTGACCCTCAATTGGGGCTCCTTTTACAGAAGATTTAATTATTAATATGATATTAAATTCAATAATTATTATTATTAATATTAATGAAATATTAATTTAAAGATTATATAATATAATATAAATTTCCATTCAATTAAATAATTAATTAAAAAATAATACAAACCTTCTAATGGTAAAGTATCTAATATATTAACTGGCTCTTCATCATCCTCTTCAACTTGAGAATGATGCCGTTCTGATTCTGCTCGTACACCAATTTGTGAATCAATTGTTTCATCTAAATCCATATCGTCTCCTGATCCTTCTGAACGTATTTCTTCTATTTCCTCTGACTGTAACGTATCATTTTTCTTATCATGTTCTCCATCAGATGTTTCACTACTAGATTCCTCTGAACTTTCATCATTTCCTGTTTGAGACTCTATATTATTCATATTTGTATTTGTTGCAGTTTCAGTTGACATTACTGTTTCATTAGGCTTAGGGCCTGAACGAGGAGTCACACGTTCTATAGTGACATCCCCAATACGTGTTAAAAAGCTGTCCAAACTATTTGACATGATGTGAAAAGTTCATTAAGTCACAATGTATTTAACTAAAATTTTATATGAAATCATGGAATGTCTTGTCACTTTCCTGTATAACACTAACAATTAGTTATTTTCATATCACTTATATTATCTATTCATTTTTTTATGCCTGCAATAAGAAATGTATTCCTTCCTAAGTTTCATATTAAAAATAATAATTCGATATATTTATAAATCATTTTAAAAGAATATTGAAAAAAATTTTAAACTAATGAATAATGTAAAAAATAATATAAATTAAAAATTCATATTACAAAAGTATAAAATAAAAATATTGCACCTTATACTATATATTTTTAATATAAATTAAATATGATAATTTATTAAATTTTCAATTTTAAAATAATAAAATATAATAAAGTAAAATAAATTTGTATATTTATGGAATATATTAGGAATACATTGCTATATTACATATAATTATATTTCAAATAATACAGATATGCAATGATATATATTTTAAAAATAAAAATAAAGCATATAAACAAAGTTTTTCTTATCACATACAAAGCAATACAAATAAAAATTCAATCAATATTAAAACTGAAATATTTAAATATTAGAACAGAAAATATTATATAAACTATTATATGAATTTGAAATGTTTACATGAGAAATTGCATGCATTGACATATTATAAAGAGATTTAAAAACAAAATATTTCAAAATGATATATAAGCTATGAATTATAAACACTTGCAATTAAGCACACTTGTTGAAAAATCAGTTTAATCACATTCTCGAGCTCACGAATAAATTCTAACAGTAACGATTTGTGCCATACTCTTTAATGAGAGAATTATAGCAGAAGCACAATTTAGTTTGTGACAATGTAATCAAAGAAATCGAAATAAAATATTCATACTGTTCCAAGTAATTTAGATTAGGAGCTGTCAAACAGGGGAAATGAAAGCAACCCAGAATGTTTGTTTTTGCATAAACCGATCCGGTTCGACGACTAACACTAAGAAGTCGCGTTTAACAACCGGTAACGCGAATTTCACACGCATTGAATTCTACTTGTGATCCACAGTTACGACTGCTTAATTAGCCGTTAATTGCGGATTAAAAATAATGACACACACATACACACGTCCGATGGACGCCATAGCGTCGTTGTTCGCCGCTCGACGATCACGGTTCTCCGCAATGTCCGAAGATCAGCGAACAAACCTTGTCACTTGGGTTAATACATGCATCGTTTCTATTCTGACGTTTGAATTCTTTTCATCTAAAATGCATGGCGAAACCACGAGAATTTATTGTGTCACCGAAACTTCACTCAAGACTTAAACTCGCACGCGTCGTTCTCAAGCTTTCCGCGGCATTTTTTTTCACATACTTTTTCTAACAAGTAATTTCACTTGGTGGAACGCCATCTTGACTGCGCTATGAAACACATCCGCTGAGCTTTGCGAGGGAACGACATTATAATTTCATTTTGAATTTAAACTTTTTATTTTTTTGTCTACTTTTAATTAAATCTTTCATAAAACAGTAATTTTAATATTTAAAATAATTTTAAAATAAAGAATACTTATTTAAAAACATATAGAAACATTAGTGTGATTAGTCCTGTATTTTATTATTCAGAATTTTATATTTAAAAAGATATTATTATTCAGTAAACTTAATAATAATAATAATATATATATTTAAAATTACGATCAATAATTTAGGTTGAATTTACTAATACACAAAAAATTATAATAAAGATTTATTTTTTTCATTATTAATTTACAATAACATAATTTGTTACAACATAAAAACATTTATTAAAAAATATTATGTATTTTTTTCTTACATATGCATAGGTTATTATAATTATATTTTTTAATATTTTTGTTATTTTTATAATGACTTGAATAATATAAAAGACTAATATATATAATTATATATCATACAATTAAAATTAATAATCTATGATATCTATATTATAATAAGACATATATAAAGTTGTATTATTTTGAACTAATAAAATATTAAATTTACAAAATTATAAATATCTTTTCATTAATATATAAAATATATAGCAAAGTTCTTACTTATGTGTCGTGTACAATTTAATATTCATTATATTATAAAGTGTTTACAATTTAGTAAAACAAAGAAATAAATAAGTCTATCTATATAATAATCTAATAATAAATTTGAATCAAACATCAAAATAACAATAATCTTCAATTTGCACTTTCACATGCATCAATCCAATCATTGTATACATCTAAAGGTTCTGAAAGTAAATTAATTGTCGTTTGAAAATCTTCTAAACAAACTCTACATGTAATTCTTGCTGTATTTCTTGATTTATCCCTGTAATTAAAAAGAAAAATATTTTAATTTGAGCAATATAAAAATTGGCGGTAAAATTATCATAACATTTTAGCTAACGTACATCTTAACCTCACATGATTTTTCATGATTACAAAATGGACAATTAAATTGCGTGTCTAATGGTTGAATTGCTTTTTTTTTACTTGGTGGTTTTCTTTTACTTTTTCTTCGACCCATTATATAAAAAATATAAAATAAATGTTTTTTATTAAATGTTTTTCATATTTAACATATACTGACTTATACTAAGATTATATCAAGTTTTTATTATTTATGCTATAAAGGCGTCGTGTACAATAAGCGAATACAAGCCTCAACGTTGACTGAAATTCTCAGTTGCGAGGCAAAAGTAATAAAGAGTGGGGGAATTATGGGGGAAACGATGTCCCGTTAAGTGGGAGAAAAAGCTACACAAGTCACGAAGCATAAGTTCGATATTCTTATTTTATATTAACGGAAGTATCATTCTTCTGCAATTCCCCCATTTTGCTATTTTCTTACGTCATTGGCAACCATTTTGTCCCGATATTTGTCAATTTTAATGACACTAAACCGTTTGAAGAAAATTACTAAACTTGTATATATGTAATTATACATTAGTTAATGATTATACATATTTTAAATATGTACTAATACTAACAAAATAATCATATTATAAAAGGTAACCAAATTAATAAATTATTATATATAACAAGTCACACACTTAATATTTAGTTATTATATATGAATAATTAAATATTTTTAATTATTTAAATATTTCAAAATATGCGAGTAAAATAAGATAAGTTATATACGTTTCTATGTAGTATAATTAATACTACAAAAAATATTTTTATATTAATAAATTATTGATGAAATGTCATGAGTACTTTCAATGTGTATCCTTTAAAATATGTAATGATTTTTCATTAATATATGCAATTTATAAAACAAATGTAAAAATAACCTTAATATTGTATAGAAATTTGTTAATACCCTTTCCTTCATCAAGGGAAGCAGAAATTGCTTATCAAGTATTGAGAGTTGATACAGAGCCTTCAAGAAGTAGTATTTCAAAATCTTTGAAATTGGACAATAATTTATTACAAATGTAAATTATATTGTATTTTATATTTATTAATACATATTTAAATATATATGATATATATTTGCACATATTTTAATTTATAATTTTATAATATTTTTTATAGAGAAATTTCTGGAACTGAGGCACGAAAAGTTAGAGTGGCAGTGACATCATTTTTTGATAGTATAATTTTAGTAACAGAAACTATGCAACTTTTTGGTCCACCTGTACCAAATTATGATTATTATTAAGTAAATATTCATTATTTTTAAAAATATTTTTATATTTTTTTATAAAATGGAACATACTCCAGCTCCATATGGACCAAGATCTGTTTATGGATATGCTTTATACATAAGTTCAAATATGTTATTTCTTTTATTTTTGGTATGGGCTGTAATACCAGACCAAATTTTATACGAGTTAGGATTAACATATTGGCCTTCTAAGTACTGGGCTATAGCAATTCCAATTTGGGCTTTAACTGCCCTTGCAATATTTGCATTTATTATTTATCCAGCTATAAACTTGTCTATGACACCAGATATTAATGATATTGCAACTATTACAGATAAATATTCATGTCCAAAAAAAGAAACTATTCCAGATGGTATACCACCTGTGTATGATATTCCAATAACAAAAGTTTGTAGGAAATTGTATTTATCAAAAAAAACAATAAATTAACAATAAATGATATTAAAAATTTTTATATTTTATTCAAAAATATTAAATACATATAAGACACAAGAAAATATAATAATTTACAAAATAAAATTAGATCAATTAGTAAAAATTTTAATATTTTGACAAATATGTTAATAATTTTTTAATAAATATATTATAATATTAATTTTTTATTTTTTATATATTAGTACTTCAGAAATTATTTCGTCATAAGAAATAAGAAACCAATTATATGTACATTTCCTGTATTGCGCAATTTGACAACGAGAATGTTATACAATATAAAGTATACGAACAAATTTTTCATTGTTAATTATTTTTTATATCTAAATTAAAAAATACTATGACAAAAACTGCATTAAAACGTAAAACATACAATCAATATATTGATAATAGAAATGGTTATCAATCTAAAGATACTGAACACGAAATCGTTGATTTAAGAAATAAATTAAAAAATGTAATTGACACAAATACTATATTTTGTAGTTTTGAATTTATGCATGTAGAAAACAATGATTTTTATAAAAAGTAAGTATATTTTTATATTTCATAAAATTCAATATATTTATACTTTTATATATTTCTATATAAATAAAAATTTTGGTTATTAGCTTTTTTATGGAAATGAATAAATATCATCCACTTTTTTATGCACTAACATGGAAACATATGAAAAATGAAATAAAAAACTATTTGTCTTCAGATATGTATAATGTATTTCCCAATAATATACTTTTACATCTTACATCTAATGACTTAACTTGCAATGATGTAAAAATTATACTAAAGAAAACATTAGATCGCGGTATACGTAATATTTTTGTATTAAAGGGTGGTAATTAAACATTATTTGAAAAAGTTATATATAGAATTTTTCATTAATAATAAAAGTTTTTATGTTAATTTAATTTTATAAAAAAAATTCTAGATTCATCAAATCCAAATAGTGAGTTTCCATATGCAGTTGATTTAGTACGTTTTATAAGGAATCAATTTGGTGAAATATTTTGCATTTGTGTTGCTGGTTATCCAGAAATGCATCCAAAATCATTATCTAAAGAAATGGATTTAGTTTATTTGAAAGAAAAAGTACTTACTTTAATTAACAATTACTTACTTTAATAAATACTTACTTACTTTAATAAGTATCATTACTTTATGTATCACTTTATATTAAAATACATTAATTTTTTTTAATTTAAAGGTTGATGCAGGAGCAGATTTTATAATAACACAAATTTTTTTTGAAGCAAACATATTTATTAAATTTGTGAATGATTGTAAGCAAATTGGAATTAATGTTCCAATTATACCAGGTATATTTCCAATTCCAAATTATACGTGTTTTCAAAAAATGGCAAAAATTTGTAATGTTAAAATACCTCAAATTATTTTAAATGATTTGCAATGTATAAAAGACAATGATGAAGAAGTACGTATTTATGGAATAGAATTATTAAAAACTATTATAAAAGATATTATTGCAAGTACAACTACTTGTGGCTTCCATTTTTTCACATTAAATAAGTAATTATTAATTATATTTTATTATTATATAAAAAAATATGAAAATTATTTATTTATATTTATTCATATATTATATAAATTTTAGACCATCGTTATCATCAGACATATGTGATAAACTTGGCATTTTTTATTAATTTTATGAAATAGAAGAAATTCAAGTGATTAAATAATTATATTATAAAGATGAAAAATTATAAACGTTAAAATTTATGTATATATATGTATATATATATATAATGTTAAAAAATATTAGTAGCTTTCTTTATATATATGTGATACTATTTAAATATACTTGTATTTCGCGCTAAAAAAAAACATCGATTACCAATTATTAAAATTCCCTATACTGGAACAATAACACAATATTAAAATATTTAATTTATTGTATAAATAACATTGGAATCTTTATTAAAATTTATTATGTATTCTATTGTTTTTTATTATAAAATCTAAATATTATCTTTTAATATTTTTAAAATAATTATTAAGACTTAAAAAAATTAATTTTAAGATTTCTTATGAATGTAACGTGGCAGATTTATAAGTAAAAATGATCCTTTGAGGACACTTGCTGTTTCACGCATGCGCTGTAGAAATATTCATGACGAACGAACAGAGGAGTTAGTTGAGTTGGGCGCCAGAGCTCCGCGTGGTCACTTGGTGTTGACGATAACAAGCAAGAAAGAAGGATCTATAAACCAGGATATAAAGAACATGGCGTTATTCCGTTTTGGTCCAAAACATTGTTTAGAAATCCAGGTAAATTTATAAATTTATTTCAGATTAAGTAATTTGGATTCACAATATATTTAAGTGATTTCAAAACCACTTTATATCATTTCGGTACAAAATTCGAATAATAAGCAGGTGTTTAACATATTTTATTGTTTCTTGTAATGATGGAGAATTTCAAATAAATAATAATATAAAAATAAATATTTATTATTATTTATTTTTTTCGAAACACAGCAAGATATTAGGTTGTATTTATTGATTGAACAGGTAAAATGTCAGCTATAAAAGCTATATGAGATCAAAGATTTTCTACATATTGAGCAAATATTCACAAACATCTTACGAAGTTCCAATAACGCTATATATTATTTTGAAGCAATATCTTTTGAGCTCTAATGTAAAGCATTTTATTGAATTTAATCATTGCATTCAATACTGATATAAAATATTGTGAAGATTATAAAGTAGGTATATGTATATTGATTAATTATTTAAAAATGTACATCGAATTATATGTGATGTAGGAGTGATATAAGATTTATCTAACTAATAAAAATTGATATTAATTTGAATTTCATTGTGATTACGTAATAAATTTTTAGAAGATATATAATTATTGAATATTATCTAATAAATTATCTCATAAATTATATACCGGATGTATTAATTATTCAGCTTTTATAAGTGATTTTTTAAATGATATAGATAATAATATTATTATATGTATTATTGATTAAATATTTTAATAGTTTTAATTTTTATTAATGAAATTTTACGTGTGAAATACAATATTTTAAAATTTTAATGCAAAGTAAAATTAAAAATTATAATGTTTACATAAATTTAATATTAATTAGTTAAAACATAAAATTATATAATATGATATGTAATAATGAAAAAAAAACAAAATATTAGATTCATTTATTAATACAAAAATTAAAAGAATAGTTTAATGAAAATCAAATCAGTTGATTTCTAGGTATAATTTATCGCCATAATATATTTACCATTCTATTTACATAATCAAACTTTAATACAATCGCCAAACTTAAATTTGGCGATAATATAAATTTATATCAAATTTTATAATTACAAAAATTTGTAAGTAGTATATCTCATAATGTTTAAAAATCTTTTATTTCGACATATTCATTGAGAAGTGCACGACAGTATAATTTCGTAAGATGTGATAATTTTAGAATGAATTCAAGGTTAAAATTTGTATTATTCTCTTTCATATTAATAATTATTTCATAACCTATATTTGATTAATACTTGCTTAGTGATCGAATTTTATATAGCTTGTTATATAGTTTTTTGAATATCATTATATGAACTGATTTTTTTTATTTACTTCTATATATCGTATATTTTATACATCTGATTTATTTCTATGTGTATTAGGATCATTTGAATTCTCTATATTATAATTATAATTTTTAAGTCGATAGCTATATATTTTAATGTATATCTATTGTAACTTTTGGCAGATTTAGAAATTCTATGTCGAGTTACAGATGGTTCATCGATTACCTAATATCATAGATATATGAACATGACCTTGTGATATTAAGTCAGAATCATTTCTTTTTTTCTCTCTCTCTCTCTTTTTTTCTGTAATATACAGAATCATATTTTTAATATTTATATAAGCTAATTTAATTTGTTGATATTTTAAAATAACTTAAAATTTCAAATTAATTTGAATATTCAAATACTTTATAAAATAATTTATTAGCAACGGTATAACAATTAAAAATTGTAAAAGAAAAAGTTAAATTCTATTGAATTCATTTGTTTATTTCATATTTTATACAAAATTCTTATAATTCAATTAAAATTAATTTTTTCATTGCTTCAATAAAAGATATTATGAAATATATTAAAAAAATATAGTGGAATTATTGTTTAATAACTTCGAATTCAAGTGAAGTTAAATAGAAACGTCCAGTTGTCGGCAAAATGATTGAATTTCAGGGTTAATAAAGATTGGATCATGCGTGACACCCTCCTCTCGGTCATTTTAGCGCCATTCGATGATTATATGGCGCGAAATCAATTAGATAATTGTAGTTCACGGGTGTGTTCTATCTGATAATGCCCTTCACAAGCTTAGTTATGTAATCATAATGAGTACTATATAGTCTTTTACATAAATGCAAACAATTAATCAAAGAAATTGTATATCTTTATTTAATTAAGATTAAATTTTATGTTTATACATTTATGCAAATTGATAAGAATATTTTTTGCGAAAATTCCATTGATAGATATTCTATTTTTTTACTCTAATAAAAATTAAAATAGTATATTTTAATAAGTATATGACATAATAGTTAAATTAAGTAATATAATTATAATAAAAAATTTTTCCGAAATATACCAATCAATATTTAATTTGTTTTCTTTGAATTTTCACAAAATTAATTTTATTAATTGTAAAATTCATTCGCAATATATAAGAATAAAATTAAACATCTATGTATGAAGAAATTAAAATTCTTTAGATTATATGATACTTACATACAATGAGGATCAAACAAAAACTTGTTCTTGATAAACTTACGAATGAAAAAAGAAATAAGGCCAAAGATCTTCATTTCGTTGAAATGTGCATTCGCGCATGGAAATTTCCTTTCGGAAAAGCACATTTTTTTGGTATTTATCCAAATATAAATCAACATATATATATATATATATATATATATATATATAAAATTAAAAAAAACATAAAAGAAAAATATAAATATAAAA